GCTGCCACCAGCTCCTCGGGGCAGAGGGGGACGGACCCCGGCCAAGTCCTCGCTCAGTGCCGGGCACAGCGCACGGCTGAGAGTCCGAGGGCTCCCTGGGGCAGGGAGCGGGGCTCGGGGCGGGGGGCGCCGGGGGGGCCCCCGGGGGCGCTCACAGTCTCCTCTCCACCGGCTGCTGCAGGCACATCTCGCTGCCGGCCGAGATGATGGGCAGGTGATTGTCCATGTGGTAGCTGATGAGGTGGCTCACGCTCTCGAAGCGGTGGTCCTTCGTCCGCACCTGGGGGGGGTGACGGACATGAAAGGGACACTCAGGAGATGCCACCACCCTACAAGGTCACCCAACGCCACCAGCCTCCACAGGCTGAGCAACAACCTGGGGGGAGCTCCCCCTACTCCCCCAGCCCCCGCGCCAGCCCAGAGGAGCAGCAGGGAAGCCCCATGCCCTGGGTGGCTCTTGTGACACCCCCAAACCCCCGTCCCCGGGGTGCTACCCGGACTCACCACTCCCTCGGGATCGACGAGCAGCAGATGCTTGGGCTGCCCGCCCTGCAAGCCCGTCAGCACGTACTGGCCTGGGGTGGTGGTGCTCTCCCGCACCAAGAAGTCTCCGTTCACCTTCAGCAGCTTCTCGGCCTCCTTGCGGTTCATCTTCCCGTGGTACCAGGGCTCCCGGCGCAGCTGCTCCTCCATGGAGGCCACCACCTGGGCGGGGGGCAGCCCCACGGGCACAGAGGGGGGGACACGCAGCGCATCTTCAAAGGGCTCTGCAGGGAGAGAGGAGCAGGGGGGGTCCGTGACCGACCTCGGAGCCACCCCCCCAGCCCAGCACATCCCCCCCTGTTCAGTGCAGCCACGGCCCCCGTCCCACTCACTCATGTCGAAGAGGTCTCTCTGGGTGCTGCCGTTGGCCGTCGCGGGGGTGCCAGCGGCTGAGGCTTGGCGTGTCTTGTCCACATTCTGCACGTTGACATAGGACGGGTCATCGAACAGGTCCGTGCGGCCGGAGGCGCCGGCCGGAGCCGGGTATTTCTCTCTCCCTGCTGCCAAGAGCACCGTGGTCAGCAGGGCTCCAGCCTGCCTTGCCCCCGCACCAGCACCGGCCACCGGAGCACGTGGGGGCCAGCAAAGCAGATGGGGACTGGCCACGTCCATCACCTTACCTTGGGCAGGAGTGTGCTGCTTCCGAGGGTCATAGTCCCCCCCAGACGTCTGGCCGACGGGCTGTGGGGAGAAGCGGGTGGTGAACCCCCCCACGCTCCCCATCCTTCCCCACTCCCCACACCCTGGGCTGCCGGAGGTGCCAGGAACACACATATCACCACCCTCACGGTGGAAAAACCCTGAACAAAGAGCCCAGGGCCCGGTCGGGGTCCCTGCACCCCCCTTGTGATGTGGAGCCTCCCCACAAGGCCATGCCCAGAGCCTTACCAGCGTGGCCCCCAAATGATTGGGGGTCTGAGCAGCCCCATCCCGCAGCCGCATGTCCACGACCCCCCCGATGGGAGGCTCCTTGCCAGGGAAGTCATTGTAGTACTGGTGATCCGGGGCTGGTTCCTCCTCTTCCTCATCCCAGGCAGAGCCATCAAACCCTGCCATTCTGAGGGGGGGGACACAGGGCACAGATGAGCAGCAGCCGGGGCGGCGTCCCCACTCCAGAACCACACAAACAATCTGGGACACCCTCCCACCTTCCTCCTTCCCTTACCTGTCGTGGGGTGTCACCAGCTTGGGGGGGTTCTTCAGGTACTGCTTGAACCGCAGCTCGAAGGCCTGCCCGATGGTGCTGATCACATCCTGCGCCAGGCCCTCGGGGCACTCCAGGATGTGGCAGGCTGGGGAGGGAACGGGGAACCCCAACATGAAGCTCCCCAACCCTCCAGCCTGCCCTGTGCACCCCAGAGCTTCCCTTTTGGGGGTCCCCCTCCCTCCCCACCACACTGAGCTGAGATGAAACACCCACAAAATGGGGCTCTGGCATTGAGGACCCCCGGGGGTGGCCTCACCTCTCTGATTGACGGGGTCTTTGGCAACATAAGCGACGTACTCAGCTGTGTCCTGGGGGCGAGACACCGGCGGTGAGACGGGGCTGCCGGGGAGCGCGGTGCCCGAGACCTCAGGGGAGGCACCGATCCCGAGCACGGGGCAGGGCACGCGTGACGGGGACACTGTGTACTCACCGGGTCTCCTCCAGAAGCGAAGGAGATGGACTGCATGTGGTGGTTAGCGATGATCTGCAAGGCAGAGAGTTTGTTGGAGGCAGCCAGGAGCTCCTCGGCACCTCCTGCTTGTCACAACCCTGCCGGGGCTGGGCCAGCACAGGGGCTTACAAGACTCTGGAGCCCTGGTTACGAGCCACAGGCCACCAGGAAAAGGGCTGGGACACCAACAGGGCCACTGAGAACGGGGTCAAAACCAGGAGGGCTGGGTCTCACAGTCCCCAGGACAGATCCTGCAAAGCCTGCGGGGTATCAATCCCACCCCTTCAACCCCGGGGACTGAGGGAGATGGGCACCCAGCAGGTCACACAGCCCACCCGGACATCCCTTGGGGGGGCTGGGGACATCCCTTGCCCTTGCAGGGCCTGGGGTGGGGGGACAGGAGGACTCCTGCTTGTCTAAAGCCACTCTTCCCCCCCTGGCTCCCTGCTCTCACCTGCTTGCAATCAGAAGCCATGAGGTTGAGGCTGCTGGTGGAGATGGTGAGGGTGATGGGCATGCCAGCGAACTTCAGGTTGCTCTTGCCCAGGATGGAGTTCAGAGAGCGGCCACAGGGCTAGGGGCAAACAGCAGCGTGGGGAAGGTGGTCCCCGGGCAAGACACAGCCCAGCTGTGGGGCAAACGGGCCGCCCTCCACAGCAGAGACAGGCACCTCGTCCTCCCCACCGCTCCCACCGAGCTCTGCTGGGACATCAGCGCCCCAGGGTGCCCAGCCCTGGGGTTCTGCCCTCAGCCCTGTGCCCAGATGGCTCCCCGGCAGCTCCCCAGCCCAGCCTCACCTTCCTCCTCCGCACAGCTCCCTTGGCACCGGGCACGGCCTCACACACCAGCCCGATGGCCTCCCTGCAGGGAGCACAGAACGATGTCAGTGTCCTCCCAGCACCTGCCTTCCCCATTCCCCCATCACCCCCCAACCATGGGACCAAGGGAATGGGGACCAGTGCAGAAGGGACAGGGTGACAACCTGTCCAGTGCCAGCTGGAGGATCGTCAAGCCAGGCAAGAGCAATATCTGAAGGGGCTGCAGGCAGCCTGAGCCCCTGAAAGCCCCACATGCCACCAGGGGCTCGTGTGGGACTTGAAACCCCCCCAAAAAAGCGGCAGCCCCTGGGGGGAGGCAGAGCTCACCTGGTGACCTGCGTCCTGGTGTTGAAATCCAAAGCCCTCATGGACTGGAGGACCTCCACGCAGCCCATGTACTGGGGGAGAGAGCAGGGTCAGCCCGGCCGGCCCCTAGGTGGGCTCCCCACGCAGCTGGGGAGGGGGCCAGAGCCCCGAGCCCCCCAGCTCTACAGCAGTGACCTCCCTGGGAATCCCACTGCCCACTTGCCACCCCAGGGGTGGAGGTCCCCATGCGAGCAGGTGCCCAGATCTCCACCACGACCCCCCCCCCTCCTCCCCCAAGTCCCCAGCACTCACCCGGACATGGTAGGAGACCCCGGGGCCCATGACCTTGTCATCGGGGTGCAGCCAGCCGCGGGTGGGCTTATTGACGAAGCTGCCGTGGCGGGTCCATTCGTCACCCCCCAGCTGGCCGCCTTCCACCCGCGTCTTCTTCCCTCCCTTGTTCATATCCTGGGAACAGACAGCGACAGGTCCCGCTGAGTCGCAGCCGGCAGCTCCCCCCGGCGCCAGTGCCACCGTCCCGGCAGGAGCGGGGTCCCCGGGGCTGCCACCGGCCGAGGAGCCCCGCAGGCTGAGCAGGTTGGCGGGGTTGGAGAGTTTCAGGTTGGCCATTTTGGGGAAGAAGGAGCAAAGGGTGGTGGGACTGTCCTCCGACTCGGGAGAGAGCTCCCCGACAGACACCGCGGGGCCGAGGGAGGAGGAGGAGAGGGAGCCAGGCAGAGACGAGGTGCCTGCCAGGGACTCCACTGGGGAGGCTGGGACCCCCAGGCCCCCCACCACCTCCTCCAGGGAGGAGACAGACTCGTTCCGCAGGTGGCTGTATTTGCTCTTCTGCAGGAGATCCATGCCGGAGAGAGGCGAGAAGGGCCAGATCCGGCCCGTCCCGCACGGCTCCGGGGTGGAGGCAACTGGCCGGGTCTCACGAGGGCCCCATGGAGAGTCCGAGCGCCTGCAGCCACCGGGAAGCCCCCCCCAAGCACAAGCCTCGGCCGAGCTCCGTGCCAAGCCCGTGCCGGCCCGGCATGGCTGGTGGGGAGAGCCGGCCCCGGGACGCCAGGCAGCAGGTCCGGGGGCTGCCCGGCTCCGTGCCGTTGCAGCCGATCGATCCCAATCGGCGTCAGCGAGGATGTGCAGATCCGGCCAGACAGAGAGCAACCCCCCGCTACCGCCGCGGCGGGGAGGAAACGGGGCCGTGGCTACGCCCCAGGGAGCTGCCGGTGCGGGGAGGGGGGGGCTCAGCACGCTCGACCCCCAGCTTGGAGGTCTTCAAGCCCCACGGCTGGGTCCAGCACGGCTGCCCCTTCACTCCAGCCCCTGCTCTGCCGCTAAGAGGAAATCAAAAGCATGAATATTTAAAGCCCGGAGACAAGGCAGCCACAGAGCGCATCCAAGCCCAGCCCAGCCCCGCTCCCAGCACCGTCCAGGAGCGAACAAGGTCCTTCTGTGGCCGCCAGCGCCACGCAGCCCACGTGCCAGCAGTGGGCAGCCCCCGTTGGCTCCCCGGGCTCTGCCGGGGGGAGCGGCGACTGAAGCCGGGGAGGGGGGGCCGCGATGCTGAGATGCCACCGGTACTCGCAGCTGCCTGGGATGCGGGGACATCCAGTCCTTTGAGAGAGCGGCTCCGGCTGGGGATCTCGCCCGGAGGAAGAGGAGGATGCCCAGGATACAGGTGGGCTGTCCGTGGGGCGAGGCAGGGCTCAGCGCGGGCTCCCGGCTGCAGCGAGGAGCCGGCAGGAGAAGCGGCCGCCGCTAATTGCTGCTTCCCACATCCCGGCCAGCGCTGAGCGGTGGCTCCTCCCGGGAGAAGGAGCAGAAGGGGCTGCCGCTACCGGGAAGGGCCGTGCTGACTCACGGGCGGCGGGGCAGGCTCTGCCCGCAGCGGGGGCTGCGTGCGGGCTGGGGCGCAGCGCAGGAGGGGCTCCCGGCGAGGGGTGGGGACCCAGCGCGGATCTGGAGCAGAAAAATCAAGGTCACAGGCGGAGCTAACGGGAGCGGGTGGCGAGACCATGCCGGGGGGCAAACCTCAGCCCCTTCTAGCGTGGGAAGCCAGGCAGAGCCCCCACCTGCGGGTCAGGGGTGTCAGGGACAAGTCGCCCCCGCTCCCCTGTCCTCAACACGCTGGCACGTCATGGGGACCACAGGTCAGACCCACTGCACCGCCTACACCCCTCTCCACAGCCTCGTCCGCACTGGCCTCCATGGAGAGCAAAAGCTCTCTCCCCACTTTCTCCTCCCGTGGGATGAAGCAGGGATTTCAGGCAGCCCCATGGCGCCCGACCCCTCCGACCCATCACGGGCCGGAGCCTTCCCTGGCACCAGGGGCTCCGCAAAACCGGCCAAGGGAAGGGCTCTCCCTGCTTGGACCCGCCGCAGGGCACGGCCCAGCATGGGCGGCTGCCCACCCCGCTTCCCAGCCGCTGGCACGGTGCCACGGGGTTGGGGAAATGGAAGCCAGGACGGAGCTGGAAATAGCCTCCCGCCCAGCGCAAGGGGCTGCGGCTCACAACGGCGGGTCCGTCACCCGCCTCCTCCCGGTGCTGGAGCATCGTCTCGGCTGCACACACCGCCTTCCGCGAGCGCCAGCCCCCACCTCAGCTGGTGGCGGTGGTCCCACGGGCGCAGAGAGCCCGTGCCAGCCGTCCCGTGAAGCTCTCGTCCCCGCCGGGGGCCCCCAGCCGCTCAGCGCTGTGACCTTCCCGTGGCCGGCAGAGCTGCTGCTCTAAAGAAAAGCAGGAAGCCCGGGGCCAGAGGGCCAGGAAGCCGCCAGCCCGGCGAGGGGCCAGCCGCGGCCTGCAGCTGCCGGGGGGAGCCTGGCTGGGCGGTGGCGAAGGGGCAGTGGGGTTTGCCCACGAGGGCCCAGCCCACCCCATGGGGCTGGGGTGCCCTGGCACGGAAGCACGGGCTCCTTGAGCCCCAATGCTTCCTCAGGGCTCTGCTGAGATAAAAGCATGAGGGAATCGGACAGGGGGCTCTCCTCGGCCCCTTCACACCACCCCAGGCCCCAGCTGTCACCCAAACAGGAGACAGGGCTCGGAGCAGCCGTCCTCAACATGGACCGAGGGGCTGGTGCGCCCCCAGGAGCCGCAGCGCCCTGCTCAGACAGACCTCTGCTTTTAGAGGATGGACTAATTTCTGATTTTATCAGAATCCTCTGAGGCCAGCCGGCCCACATCACCTCACCAGCCTGCACCAGCTGTATCGCCACTCCCAGTTCCCGGAGACCAGAGGTGCCACCACCACGGCCCCCCCCAAGGGCATCAGAGACCCCTCCCCAGTGGACTCGGAGCAGAGAAGGCAAACCGAAACACTTACAGAGCTACAGAGCAGCCCTGCCTCAACAGGCAGCCCTGGAGTCCGATCCAGCAGGCAGGCAGCGAGCTCTTGCCCCAGCAGTGGAGGATGAGCGGAGCAGCCAGAACAACCACCCCTGAGGAGCTCATCCCAGCAAGGAGAGGGCCGGATGGGCTGAATCCCCCCTGGGTGCGGGAGAAGCAGAGGGACACGGGCTCCTTTCGGGTGCCTGGGGCTGGGACTTCACGCACAGCCCGGGGCGAGGAAGAGGAGCGGAGAGGGGACGCTCGGGGCCCTGCTACCAGGCCAGACATCCTCCCAGGAAACACAAACTGGGAGCTGAGTCACAGACCTGGAACACGCCAGTGGTTTGGCAAGAAACGGAGCAGGCAGCCGGCCGCTGCTGCACGTACACGCCTCGCCTGGGGCAGGAGACCCCCTCGGTCCCACAGCGGCTGCAGCAAAGCCATCCCCAAGCCTCCAGGGCAGGGGGGAAGCAATGAAAAACACTCAAATCTAGCCAACAGCTGGTTGTTCCCCCTCAAACATCATGACGGCATCACACAGTTCCTGCACACAACCTCTCTGCCGCTCAGAAGAGGGGCCGGGAGATCTCAGCGGAGACCTGGGAAGGAGACCGGGGCCCTGCCAGCGGGGAGAGAGGGGAGGCAGGATCCACCACCGAAGCCACCTAGCCCTCCACCGAAACCTTACCACATACTCCATCGCCGGCGGAGGGCAGGGCAGGCCCTGGGCAGGGAACACAAACGCACAGCCCCTCTCGTCTGGCACTCCGACCTGCGGTTCGGGGACAAACAGGGAGTTAGCCAGCCCTGCCCCGGCCCGCCGAGGCGGTGGCCCTGGCACCAAGAGGCAGACCCTGCTCCTCTTCGCTGACTGTAGGTAGACGGGGCCACAGCAGCAGCACAACGTGCTGCCGACACATGAGAGGCAGGGAAGCCTCCTGCTTCCCATCCGAGAGACAACAGAGCTGGGATGTGTCAGGGCAGGAGCGTGAGGCTAAGCCTGGCTCTGCTCGGGCCTCACCAGCAAACGGGGTCGGGGGCCAAGAATCACTCCGTGACCCAAGACAAGTGTCGGAGACAATCCCTGACCAGCTCCAAAACCAGTGCCCAGAGGCCACACACAAGGGGTAAAAAGCAGAAGCAGCTCAGGGGGGCAGAGCTGCCCCCTCCTGCCACCCCCTCAGCAGACACCCCGCCACAGAAGGACTTCTAGAGTCCCCAGGGCTACAGCCCCCTCCTCCCCAGGAGAGCGGTGAAGATGGGAATTGTGGCAAGAGGCTACGAGAGGGGAGCCAGGAGGGGCAGGAAACTCTGCAAGGGGAAAAAAGGCAAGCGAAGCAGGAGCAGCTCCGGAGCCACTGCCCTTCCCGCTCCCACCCCCACGCCAATGCGGTCACAGCCGGGCCGGGCGAGCAGCAAACATGATTTACTTCCTCGCAGCAATCGTGCCCTTATCTGGGGCCTGCAAAGGCAGCGCCGGAGCCCAGGCGGGCACTAACACAATTAGTTCAGGAGGCAGCGAGATAAGAAGGGCCCGGCTTGGCAAGTGCAGCGGCGCAGACTGGCCCCAGGCAGGGCCCAGCAGCACCACGCCAGGTCACTCGCTGCCAAGCAAAGGCGGCGACGAGGCGCTTTGGACACCAGGGGACAAGGTTGGCAGCAGGGAATGAGGATCGGGACCCCCACCCAGAGTGCTCAGCCCTGCCAAAACCTCCTCAGGGCACTGTTGTGTCCCTCTTGAGGAGGAGATGCTGCCCCACGCAGCTCCTGGGGGCACAGGCCATGGCGCTCCCCCACCAAAGGGCTGCAGGGTGGATCCAGAGGCCCCGCTTGGGAGAGATGGCACCTTCACCTCTCTGGAACAGGCCAAGGAGAACCGTGACAGCAGCCTTTTGCCCTCAGAACTCCACAGCATAGGGCCACAGGGCAAGGTCCAGGTCACAGTTCCTCAGGCCCCATATCCGGGATCCTCCCGGGCCAGCGAAGTGAGGGGGTGACCCCACTGGAGAGATTCAAGTGGAGAGGCAGGAACAGCCCACGACGGGGGGGCACACCACACTGCCAGGGGGGCAAGGCGAAGGCTAGCGAGGGGGAATGTCTACCCCTGGGCACAACAGCCATGTCTGCTCTGGCCACTCGTCCCCTGCCTCCCTCGGGAGCTTGGAAGCACAGGCAGGGCTGGATGCTGGAGGGCACCCAGGCACCGCAGAGGCCGAGAAACCCCTCTAAATCCAGCCGTGGCCCCATCCCCGCCCGGGGCGACGCCAGCGCAGGGATCCCCCCAGGCCTGACAGCGTTCCTCCAGCCGGTCTCACCTCCGCGGCCCCGAGCAGCGGGAGGGGACAAGACAAACCAGAGCCCAGCGGGTGCACACACACAGCGCGGGGGGAACCAAGGCACCGGCATCACCCCGAGATCTGGAGGCAACCGAGGGGCAGGCACAGCCCGGCCCCGGCCGGGACGCCCCGGGGATGGGGGGCCGGGCCCGAGCCCCGCGCTGGGCAGCAGGGAAGGGCAGCCGGGCCCCGCAGCACCGGAGGAGGGAATGCCGGGTCCCGGGGACGGCTGTGGCAGGACCCCGAACAGAAGGTAACGGCGGCGGGCAGAGAAGACTCGGCACAGGCACCGCGGGGCCTGGCCCGGCCCGCCCCGGGACCCCGCAGGGCCCCGGCCGCTCCAGCGGGGCTGCGCAGGCCGCTGCACGAGGCCGCTGCACGAC